TACTGGCCTCATAGGAGCAGAGCATGCACGGATAAGGACAGGAGGGGAGCAGGAGGTTTCGACGGTAGATATCTGTGAGAGTGGACTGTGGACGCCTGGTGAGCGAACATGGCTTCAGTGGTACTCAAGCTACGTGTATATTCGATTGCTCTTAGTCCCGCCGCTTCCGGCATGCTCTCACCCCCGAGTTACCGTTGATTTCGTGTGCGATGACACACCAGGATCCAGCCGTAAACGATGCGTCACGGCTGATGTATACATGATTTCCGGCTACTATCCGCTTCCTGTGCTTTCCTATCGTATGCCGTTGCCAAACTTTCAAAGCTCCCTGTGTGATTCAAGGTCACCATAATGATACGTTGAATAACACCCCCTTTTCCTTGTCATTGTACCTGCATAGGGTTCTAGGGAAGAGCGAAATGAGGCGTGAGCACCACTACTGTTGCTACAGTAGTGATGTTGTAGGGTAGTATACGAGTGTTCTCCCTCGGTTCCGTGACAAAATTTGGAGGGGGCGGCTTCAAACTCGGGGGAAAGGCTCATTTGTGAGCTGGTCCACAGCAGTGCGCACGTGGGAGACCGAGCCCAAAAGGGGAGGAACAAACGTTTTGCTCATTATTATGTAAGAAGTTGCTCAGGATACCTACATTAAACTCATGTGCAATGGAATCAGGTATCCTCCTCTGCGTTCCGGAGATATCGTAGCTCCACTACACTTTATTGACCCCAAAATATCCCTTTTCGCGGGGGTGCTGCCAAAGCCCACGCTTGGCTGTCTGCGTTGGTGGGGGCCGCGAATCCAAGGTAAAGGCTATATCTAGCATTGTGCAAAACACCGTTCCTGTGCGTTATATCCACGCCGAGAAATGTACATGCATGTGTGTCGCAGCAAAACGCCGCCGATTTTACCATGGGGACCCACCCCAGAAGTGCCCTCCGCTCGCGCACCAGGCCATGAGTCCACGCTTGGTTGTTTGCATTGGCGGGGACCGCGAAAAGCTGTAGATAAGGCCTAGGGGTGCGCAGAGCGCCATTGCTGCAGCTTACTTCCACGCCGAGATATGTACATGCGTGTCTATTGGTCCTAACAATGTTTACGTCACGAAAGATAACACCCCCTCAATCACCCGTACTGTAGAGCACGGTTACCAGCCCACGCGCGGTCGTTTGCATCGGCGAGGGCCGCGAATTCATGGATTATAAACCATAGCTAGGTGTAAGCACAACACCATTTTTGCTTGCTGAGTCGACGCCGAGGAAATTTCATGTTCGTGGATGCACCGGTCCAGCTCGGCACGCAGCCACGCTGCTGACCACTATGAAGCCCGGTTTCCAGGTGCATTGGTTGGGTGCCTTCGCCGCGTTGTGTTGCTTTTGACGGCGTGGGTGGTTTCCTTGTTCTCTCTCGCATTCGCCCTCCGAAACGCCACCCTGGTGTGGTTCCATGCCACAGATCTCTCTGGGCTATATTGCTGTAGGCACGCCTACCTTTGTTTTCAGCGGTGGTTATCTTTGCCTTCCTTGTGACATTTGTTTTTCCCTGCCCCCTCGTCCATCTTGCTTCGCGCCCTTGCTGCCTTTATACGCCGTACCAACGCGCTCGACCAGGCCACCGGAGGAAGGGCGGGGCCAGCGGCTTCAAGGGAGGGGAGAGACGGAGAGGGCTGGGGGAATGCTACCGAAATGGCGACACCTGGGGTCGGAGTCGAGGTAAGTATCAATTGTTCTCGGCCGAAAATGATTGAACCCGGAGGCGGAGTCGGTGTAGGAATCAATCGTTCTTGGCCGAAAATGATTGAACCCGGAGGCGGAGTCGGGGTAAGAGTCAGCTGTTCTGGGCTGAAAATAATTGAACCCGGGATGCACTTCCCAGTCTTGGATTTTTTCGAAGCCATTTTCACAATTATAAATATTTGCCAGGAGTTCGTGGTTGAATTGTAGGCTGGCACGCACCTTCCAGACTTACTTGGATTTTAAAAACCATTTTCGCAACCATAAATATTTTCCGGGACCTCGTGGTTGAAGTGTTGGCTGGAACGCACTTCCCACACTTGGACTTTTCAAAACCAATACACATATCGGAAGCGTATCTGCCTCGAAAAGTGGTCCACAACCACGTGTATCCGTGGTATCTTTTCTCAAGAGTCTCGACTTGACCGATAAACGTAAGAAAAAACATGCCAAAGGCTTAGAAATTTTGACGGGATTGCCCCGAAGAATGACCGGGGTGCACGCGCTTCTGAGGCAGGCAATGCAAAAGTCTCGACCTGGCCTGGTCGAGACTTTTTTCGTGCGTTATATCCCGAGCGCGTTCACTAGGTGAAAGTCACATGGCTGTCGCCCTTTCTCGAGGACAAAAGTCTCGACTTGAGGCTCCGCGCGCTCTCGAGCATCGACCTAAATCGAAAACTTTTTTTTTTTTGAATACCGGAAATGTTGTCGGCTGGCCCAAAGGTTTGGCCCACACCAAGCAAGGACGAGATATGTCGTCCATTTTGGGCGTTGGGTGTCGGAGTGGTCGGAAAAGTAACGAAAGTGGAACTCGTGTTTGGAGTCAACATCGAGGTCACTGGATCGGGAAACGAATGGTCCCACCCGGAAGATAAACAATGGTCGAACCCGCATGGGAGTCAACAGCGAGGTGACCGTCTTAGAAAAACATTGGCCGAACTCGTGGTAGGATTCAACAGCGAGGTCATGGATCGGGAAACAAATGGTCCCACCCGGAAGAAAAAAGTTGTCGAACCCGTGGTAGGAGTCAACAGCGAGGTCAATGTCTTGGGGGGGAAAGCCGAACTCGTGGTAGGATTCAACAGCGAGGTCTCGGGATCGGGAAACAAATGTTCCCACCCGGAAGAAAAGTAAAAAGGTGGGAACCGTAGTAGAAGTCAACAGCGAGGTCGCACCCGGAAGAAAAGAGTTGTCGAACCCGTGGTAGGAGTCAACAGCGAGGTCACTGGATCGGGGAACAAATGTTCCCACCCGGACGAACAAAAAATGATCGAACCCATGGTAGGAGTCAACAGCGAGGTCACTGGATCGGGGAACAAATGGTCCCACCCGGACGAACAAAAAATGATCGAACCCACGGTAGGAGTCAACAGCGAGGTCTATGTCTTGGAAAAAGAATGGCCGAACTCGGGGTAGGAGTCAACAGCGAGGTCACTGTCTTGGAAAAACAATAGTCCCACCCGGAAGAAAAAAGAGGTCGAACCCGTAGTAGGAGTCAGCGGTTCTGCGCCGAAAATGATCCAACCCGGGAATGGTTCCAGGGCATGCACTCCCCCGACATGGATTTCTCACAACCATTTTCACACCCATAAATGTTCCCCGGGACTTCTTGGTTGAAGTGCTGGCTGGGACACACGTCCAGGACTTGGATTTTCAAAACCATTTTCGCAACCATAAATATTTGCCGGGACTTCTAGGCGCATGGGACAACCCTCTACTTGAAGAAAAGTACATATCAAAAATACGCTTCTCACGTCATGCGTACATCGGAAGTGTATCTGCCCCGAAAAGTGGTCCATAACCACGTGCATCCATGGTCTCTATCCCAAGAGTCTCCACTTGACTCGACACCCGTAAAAAAACCTCACAAAAGCTTGGTAATTTTGACGATTTTGCCCCGAAGAATGACTGGGATTCACGCGCACATAGTGCAGGCAATGTAAAGTCTCGACTTGGTCAAGTCAAGACTTTTTTTTGTGCGTTCTTTCCCGAGCGCGTACACTAGGTGAAAGTCATTGGTTGTCGCCCTTTTTCGAGGACAAAAGTCTCGACTTAAGGCTCCGTGCGCGCTCGAGCGTTGACTCAAATCGAAAGCTTTTTTTTTCTTTTTTGAAAACAGGAAGTGTTTTCGGCTGGCCAAAAAGTTTGGCCCAGCCCAACAAAGACGAAATGTGTCGTCCATTTTGGGCTTTGGGGTGTTGGACTGGTCGCCAACGTCATGTACTATTGCAGGTGAAGTGGGCGGCAAAGTCGTGTCAGGTTGTGTTTTTTTGGGGTGAAGGTTGTGGGCACAGCACGGTACTCTAGCTACATACCCGAACCTAGATGCACCCCGATTCACCCCTTTTGTTTTGTTTTTTTCGTGCACGCAAGGTCGCCTGCCGCTAGGTCAACACGGGACGTCGTTTCAGAGAGCAGCCGGGCGTATGAAGGATGCCGAGGAGTGGTTTCGAAAAGCGTTGAAGGCTCAGGAGACCGGTGGACTTACGTCAAGCCATCAGGCCGTCTTTGTAATGGTCGAATTGGGGGAGTGTGCGCAGAAGGTGGGGCGTTATCAGGAGGCGGAAGCGTGGTTTCAGCGAGCGCTGGAGATCGAGGAGGCCATGTTGGAGCCCGCCGATGTCCAGGTTGCCTATTCGCTGCGCGCCATGGGTAAATGTAAGCAGGAAGCGGGAAAATTTGAGGAGGTGGAAGCGTGGTTTCAGGGAGCGCTTAGGATCAAGGAGGCCAAGTTGGGGCCGGTTGATGTCCATGTTGCCTACACGCTATACCAGCTGGCTCTGAGTGTGAGGAGGGCGGGGAGGCCGGGGGATGCAGTGCCGTTGTTTGAGCGAGCGCTAGAGATCAAGGAGGCCAAGTTGGGGCCCGACGATGTGAGGGTTGGCTACACGCTGCACGATCTGGCTGTAAGTGTGCGGGAGGCGGGTCGGCCGGAGGATGCAGAACCGTTGTTTTAGGCGGGCCCTTGAGATCAGGGAGGCCAGGGTTGGGGCCCGACGATGTCCAGGTTGCCTATGCGCTAGAATGGCTGTGAGTGTGAGGAGGTCGGGGCGGCCGGGGGATGCAGTACCGTTGCTTGAGCGAGCGCTTCAGATCAAGGAGGCCAAGCTGGGGCCCGACGATGTGGGGGTTGCCGTGACGTTGCACAAACTGGCTCAGAGTGTGATGAAGGCGGGGAAGCCGGGGGATGCAGTACCGTTGCTTGAGCGAGCGCTTGGAATCAGGCAGGCCAAGCTGGGCCCCGACGATCTAGGGGTTGCCAGTACGCTACGCTGGTTGGCTCTGAGCGTGCTGAAGGCGGGGAGGCCGGGGGATGCAGTACCATTTTTTCAGTGAGCGCTTGAGGTCGAGGAGGCCAAGTTGGGGCCCGACGATGTGGAGATCGCCTACACCTTGCACAGTCTGGCTCGGAGTGTGCGGGAGGCGGGGCGGCCGCGGGATGCAGTACCGTTGTTTAGGCGAGCGCTGAAGATCCAGGAGGCCAAGCTTGAGCCCGACGATGTGGGGGTTGCCAGTAGACCGGGAGATGCAGAACAGTTCTGTCACCGAGTGCTTGAGATCCAGGAGGCCACGTTGGGGCCCGATGATGTCCAAGTTGCCTACACGTCGAGCGCGTTGGCTCTGTGTGTGCTGGCGGCGGGGAGGCCAGGGGATGCAGAACAGTTGTGTTGGCGAGCGCTCAGGAGGCTAGTGGGGCCTCGATGATGTCCAAGTTGCCTACACACTGAGCCATATGGCTCTGAGTGTGCGGGCGGCGGGGAGGCTGGGTGACGCGGAAGCCATATATAGGCGAGCGCTTGAGATTCAGGAGGCCAAGCTGGAGTCCGACGACGTCCAAGTTGCCAATACGCTGTACGAGCTGGGTTTGTGTGTGCAGGAGTCGAGGCGGCCGGGGTATGCAGTACCGTTGTTTGAGCGAGCGCTAGAGATCAAGAAGTCCAAGTTGGGGCCGGATGATATGAGTGTTGGCTACACGCTACACGAGCTGGCTCTGTGTGCATGGGAGACGGGGAAGCCGGGTGATGCAATACCGTTGTTTGAGCGAGCGCTCAAGATTGAGGAGGCCAAGCTGGGGCCCGACCACCTGCAGGTTGGGTACACGCTGCACCGGCTGGGTGTTTGTGCGGCAGGCGGGGAGGCCAGGGGATGCAGTGCCGTTGTTCAAGCGAGCGCTAGAGATCGAGGAGGCCAAGTTGGGGGCCGATCATTCCCATGTTGCCCGGACACTTTCCGAGATGGGTCTGTGTGTGTGGGAGGCGGGGGAGGTGTAGGGGGGAGGCGTGGTGCGCGTGGGCGGGCGCTTTACGGGAGCAATAGTTGCGCATGGAGGAGGGAGGAGGGAGCAGCGGAGCAATGGGCTTTTTGGGGGTATTTGGGCGCGGTAGGGGCGCGTGGTATGGTGTTGGCTATTGCATGGAGCAGAATGATACGATGAGTTAGCCTGACGGGGTTCGTGCAAAGGGGGCATGGCGAGGCATTGTGGTTGGATTGGTGTTTTTTCGCTACCAGGTTTCTCACGAAACAAAAGTGTTGCTTGTGAAACTCATTCTGTTTAATTGTTTTGTGTAAATATCAGCATTGCGGCGCGTTCATTCTCCTCGTTCTTTCACACATCTTTGTTTTCTGGCTCCGACCGCATTCGGTGTGAGCAAGACAATCAAGACACTTGCTGTTGTTGCACCTCGAACACCTGCACCTCGCCATTTCTATTCTCAACTAGAGCGAGTATTGATCTGCCTCCAATCTTCGCCGAGTTGGTAAGGTCACAAGGTAGCCGTAAGTCGACAGAATACGGAGTTCTTTTTAGCCGGAATACTGATGTACGTCCAGCAGCACCCGGCTTTCATGGCTTCAAGGCGACCAGAAGAGTGCTCCCTCCCAGTGTATGTGGCGCTGGATTTGCTGTCTGAATCCACGGTGATCTATCGATGCACGTAGCTCCGCGCACAGCAAGAAAGCGGAGACTGCCGTTGTACAGCAGCGCAGCAAGAGTCGTTGGACACCCTGCACCCCATGTACCGAGGTTTGGTAACACAGCAGACGTGTGCGGACACAAGGCGCCTCTTAGAGGCAGAGGTCGCGCAAGCCCGCACCGTGATTGGCTTGCGGGGCGATGCGTGGCGATCTGTTGAAGCCAGCCTGGCTCAGAGCAGCAAACTGCGGAGAGACTGACTGCTGTTTGTTGCTGACAGCAGTGTGGTGTAGCGAGAACCGTTGCACACCCCGCACCCGATACACCGAGGTTGGTCACAAAGCAGATGTGTGTGTGTGTGTGTGTGTGTGACCACGAGTCTCTAGAGAGAGGTTGGCGAGCTTGTTGTTCGCAAGGCCCTCCAAAAGGAGCGGTGCGATTTTGTCGCGTTTTGCGTTTGAACGGCGCGTTTCGCCGCACGGCCCCCCTAGAAATAAACCATACATAAATCCGCCGCACATATAGAACCGCGGAACCCCCGACTGGTACTCGGAAGCTAAGCCTCCGGCCACGTCACACAATACGACATGAAGGGGCTGCGCTGTCACGTGTGCAACAAGCATGGGTCCTCTCGCTACAAAGGTGAAGAGTTCGCTAGGTCGCGCTGCAGTCTCGTTGTGGACAAGTACAGAGGAAAACGCGGATCAAGTGCAGCATAACTTTTTCGCTGATGCTGCTGCTTCCTGTGCTGTTGGGTAGCGAAAAAGGCGAGAGACACAGGTTGAGCGCCACAAAAGGTAGCATGGTAGCACGCCCCCTGCCTCTCAGCTCTTGGGATTGCCTTATGCGGTGCAACAGTTTCACATCTTCGCGTAGTCTAAAAGCGCTGTGTGGACAGTTTCAGTTGTGTCAGGCGGATCAAAGGAACCGAACTGTTCTGCTGATGCTGTTCCTGCTGTGTGAAGCGGGGAAGGCAAGAGACTCAGGGTGAGCGTCACAAAGATAGAATAACCGCTTTCTCCGACGCCCTTGTTTGTTCTTCGCGGCGCAGCAGTTGAACATCTGCAGAAGTATTCTGTCTACATAGTGCAGTCTATTCTAAATGCGCGGCATTTTTTCGATCGTACCCTGTCCTGCCCCTCGGTTCCTGCAGACCCAACCGGGAAGTCAACAGCGGTGGTGTGCTCGGAACATAAGACGGAAGGCATGACCAGTGTAAAATCCAAAATATGCGAGCATAATGGGTGTGAGAAGCGTCCCTCTTTTGGATTTCGACTTGAAAACAAGAAACGGTTTTGTTTTCGCCACGCAGAAGATGACATGGTCAATCTGCTGCTGAAGGTGTGTGCTCATTCGGGTTGTACGTCTACGGCCAACTACGGACACGGAGGAAAGCGTACTCATTGTCAGCCACACGGGGAACCCGGAATGACAGGCCCTAAGGGGCAAATGATCGCATTAGCGTTGCAGCCATCTGTGTGGCCTGAAAAGGCTTCGACGACAGCAGCTGCTGGCGGTGTGCTGGACGTAGCAAAAGCTGCTTTTCTCGCGGCGGTAGGCTCCGCTGGAGCCGGGGGGCAGAACGGTGGGGACGACAACGTCGGCATGGCAGGCAATCTCCCTGCGATGGAGCAGCCTAGTTGGGTGTGTGAGCGGCTCCAGGAGAGAGAGAGAGAGAGAGAGAGAGAGAGAGAGAGAGAGAGAAGCGAGGGAGAGGGAGCGAGAAGGAGAGACAAGCAATGCTCTGTGTGTGTGTGTGTGTGTTCGTGTGTGTGTGTGTGTGTGTTTTTATTATTAGCATCGACCGCGCTAACCGGCTGACCAATTAAAAGACGTCAGTCTCAGTGCGGCGGGAAACACAAAATGTTTCTGTGTGTGTGTGTGATGTGTCCAAAATGCGCTGCGCGAGCTCTCCCTGTAAACCCCGTGGCCCGCAAGATAACAAGTTGTGTTTCCCCTCCCCGCGCGACGTGGCCAGGGTTCCAAACAGCTTGCACCGACCCAGGAGGCGTTTGAGCGAGAGAGAAAACGAGTCGAGATCGAAAAAAGGAAAGCAGAGGACGCAGTGGCGGCAAGAGATGCCGCCGAGGAAAGTGGGCGGAAGGCATTCGAGGTGGGTTGGCTGCATCTCGACTGTTTGCGGATTCACTTCATTGTTCATCAACATTGGCAGACTCTTAAATCTTTAGATGATGGTTGGCAGGCAAACGAGAAGCTACAAAAGGAGCTGGAGACAGTGAAGGCTGGCATCGCACGTGCTTTGACGGAGAATGGACAGTACATATCCAAGCCCCGGAGAGTGACGTTGCCACGCCGCTGCAGGGAGAAAGCTCAAGAGCCGGATCAACCGAAAGAAATGGCAGCCCTACACTTTCGGTCCATGCATGATGAGGTGCCGTTTGTGTGGCTGAAGGAGCATTTTGAAGTAGAGGAGAAGCCAAGCCAGATTGAAGGCCACGGGGCGTTTCTCAAGCGTGGCGCGAGCAAAGGCACAACAGTGCATACCTCGGTTTTGCCTAGCTCCGAATTCAGCGATGATTTTACGATCGAACAGTACGACTGCTGCTATCATGTGATGCATGGTGACAAGAACGGGGTGGTGTACATCGACCCAGGTGCCCTTTTCCGAGGCAACCTGATGGGGTGCCTGGAGGACATGGGAAGTAGGGTGATTCGACTTTTGAACCACAGCAGCTCGCCTAATGCCGAGCTATGTTTCGGCGGAGCGGCCCCTCCTGACTGGTATGAACCAACGCGAGCCGGACAGGCAGTGATTACAAGCTGGTACACGTGCTCACTCGTGACCCNTCGACTTTTGAACCACAGCAGCTCGCCTAATGCCGAGCTATGTTTCGGCGGAGCGGCCCCTCCTGACTGGTATGAACCAACGCGAGCCGGACAGGCAGTGATTACAAGCTGGTACACGTGCTCACTCGTGACCCGTCGACGCGTAGAAGCAGGGGAAGAACTTACGATTTGCTATGCCAAGTTTCCGCCCGCGTGGGACAAGGGTAAGCAGGATAGGAGAAGTAAGAGGAAGCGGTAGACTACGGCATCGGCACGGAGTGTGAAACGTGGGAAGTAGCGTAGCTTGATAGGGGGTGTTGGACGCGACATAAACGACTGTATGCTGCTGGTGCAGGCGGTGCCGGCGGTACCGGCTCTCTGTGTGGGGGCGGGTGAGGGGGCGGATAGGTCTTTCCTACTGCCAGAAAAGCGCTTGTAGGGGACGTTGGTCTGCTTCGAAACCAGTGCCAGCAACCGTTTCAGGACTTTTTCGGGTGGGACAAGTGGTAGAACAGCTATTTCAAGCGCTGCCAAACGGAGGTCCTCAGTGGGCACCAATGGCTTCGTTAACGATTTTTTGATGTAACAAGACCTACCTTCAACCTCTACGACGACCCTGAGCGAATCGTCCAATATCCCGGGTCTTTTTGATCATATCAGTGGAATTCTCCATTTTTCTGGTTTCAGTAAAGTAATACGTGACCTTCCCTTCGATTGGATGGCCTTCATACTCCGTCTGATGGAAACATGATTTCCATTTTCAGAGCACGTAGAATGGATTGGAAATGGGGCTTGGAACATGGAGCGCTCGGTTCATTTTGTCGAGCCTCCGCTTTGCTGAAAATTCCGTGCCACGATGGTTGCACGGCGCAAAATGTAACTCACGGGTGGCTCCCCGAAGGTCAAAGTCATGCAAGAGAGTATGACTGTACCGGTCGAATCGTTTGTGTGCCGTATCTTCAAACTTGGGCAGCTCACCCCTCTTCCACTCAGGTAGTCAGCCAAGGTGCTTGTACGCAAACGAGAAACCCATGTGATCTGTAGCGAAATCATTCCCATCCACCATTCTCGGCTGCACGTATCACACGCCCTGCTTTTACGGTGTGGCAGGCGTGACAACCCGGGCACTGCTTGCAAAAGCACCCCTCAGGCTCGTGGCTCAGCAGGGAGCGAACTTCATTTGCGCCCGCCGTGGTGAAAAATGCCGCCAGCTGGTTGAGGACATCTACGGCCCAGACCCCCAACACATTGCTTACGCCAAAGCACGCCGTGCGAGATTCTAGAGATTCCCCGGTGGTCGCGTGAGACACGCAAACCTCCACGATAGAAACAAGGTTGTGATTTGGAAAATGGCGACGTCGGCCGGGTAGTTTCCGTTCGCGGCGTCTTCGCTTCACAGTCTGAGTACTGTCGTGCGATGTCGTGCATTCTTGTGGCACACTTCCCCTTGAAAAACAGCCGCCAATAGTATTTTTTGACAAGCAACTGGCTGCGTTGTGAAGGGCCGATTCTCCCCCGCCGGAACAGTCGGACGACAGGTGGCGGTGCGCTACTTCGATATGGCAGAATTATCAAGTATCAACTCATGGGCATATTCAAGGCGCGTGAAAGGGCCCTCGGTTTTGGAACAGGAAGGCACAAACAGCTTGCCTGATGGAGTTGGTAGTTTGGGCCACGGTTCTGATTTGAAATAACATTTTAATTGACAGAGGTGGGGTGCAGTCGGATGTACGCTAAGCTACAGTTTGCCTCGCTTGCTCTCGAGCAGGGGTCAACTGGTATCTCACGTTGTACACCTTCTCCCCGGCCGCCAACCATCGCACTGTCAATCAGCTCCTTCGACGGGATACCAAGCTGCTGGAAGCAACTGGGCCGCGTACACGCCCCGATTACGCACAGAGCTTTTCATGTCGAAGGCTTTGCATGCCGGGCATTCCGGGAGAGATCGTTTCCAATTGCAATCAGCGCAACACATGGCGTGGCACGTGAGGCAGGGGCGTGCATCCGCCGATTTCGTTACACGTTCGAAGCAAATGACACGCTCTGAGGATTGCTGCTTCGAGAGCAAATGAAACACTTTGATTGTTCCCTGTTTCAGTACCGATTTTTGGTCACATTCCAGGCACGTGAAGGGGCCATCGGCCTTGGAGCAGGAAGGCACCACGAGTTTCCCCGATGGGGTTTGGGCCACGGGGATATGGAGGGGCACTATGGCGTTCATGTTGTGGTATCTCAATTCGCCACCAGCTACAAATCACGCAAGAAAAAACATCCATCGGTGCAGGTATCTCTTCGAAGGTGACCCTCACAGCGTGTCAGGATCCTTCAAGCAATCTCTCAAAAGCCACGTCGATCGCGTCTGTGAGTCTCTGCGTGCACAGGCGCGGCACCAGTCATCAGATCATATTACGCACGCTCAAAAGAAAACTGCTCTCTTGGCGAAGGCATTGAGGACCGTAGGGATCCATGGCTCCGTACGCATCGACGAACTCCGACGAACTCTGGGAAAGGGACAATCGTACATGTCAACCGCATGCTGTGTCGCAATGCTTCCGCCGAATGTGCTGCCCAAACGATGACACGCGCCCTTGAAAAAAGGGATGGCGTGGACGGACTTAAGACGCAACATACACAGGAGACGATTCCACGTTCAGAACGAGACACCGCATCGTGTTCCTTATGTCTACGACAAAGGAAGCGCTTTCCTAGCCGCTGGTTGCTTCGCCTCGTCATGTTTGACCTGGTGGAAGGTGTTGTCGAACGTTGTCCGGCCGTTCTTACACTTGAAGTAAATGTGCAGCCTACTGTTGATCTCCTCGTACGAGCTTCCGGAGTGCACCAGGCAGCTGTGAAAGAGAATGCCATACCCTGGAGGGATGATCAGCTCTACCATGTCATTCCAGTCATACTCGTCCTTCAGAAAGTCCTTGTGGCTGGCCTCATCGACGTGAAGATACACAGGTTCTCGGAAAGCACAAAGGCCGGTGTACGGCGCCGGCTCAGACCTCCCTCGCGTCCCTGACCCTGAACCCAGAAGCCTTTTCTGCACGTCCTTCCCGTCTTGGTCCTTGTGAAGCACTTGATTGGCCTCGCCCGCCGCGCTGAGCAGGAGAGTTAGCTTCTCGGCGTCCACCACGTTATCGATTGAGACGAGAGCTTGTAACACGAAGCCCATGGTTTGGACGGCTATTTCCGCCCTCTCCATGAACTTCTGCCCGAGGCTCTTCTTGTGCGATGCCTCTTCTAGGTTCACCATCCATCTCTCCTGGTCGTTTATCTTGCGGAGCCCCTTTGCATATGGGACCCGGAGCCGTCCGTCCTCGCTTGTCTCTGTGAAATACTCCTCGTGAATCCTCTCCGACATGAAACGTGTTGTCTCATCTCTGTCAGCACTGGAAAAGACGGGGGCGATCGCAAACCCACGTCTCATGAGCGAATCGTAGGCATATCGCCCAAGCTGGGTGCATTTGAAGATGTCGATCCCGTCGATTGCCGCTGCGTGTTGCTTTTCCACGGGGCCAAGCTCACCGGCGGCAGTCAGAGCCGACCTGAGCTGTTGAACCGCCTCTGTGGCATCGGCATCCGTTATCCCAGCATCCAACAGCTCTTGCATGAGGTCTTTCGTTTTCCGGGTATCCACGCCCGCCACGCCCGCCGCTGGTACTGCTTCGTTCACCCCTCCGGGCGCTTCCTCCGTTCCATCGCCCAAGTCTTCAAGGTTATCCAAGCCCTCTACCGAGTCAAACGCCTCACCAGCCGCACCCCCAGTTCCCTCGGCCTTCTTTGACGCTTTTTCGGCGCGAGTCCACGGGGCGGGTGGCTGGGACGTGGCTCCAGCAGCCGCCGAGCCGGCGACGGGAGGAGAAAAAGCTCCAACCGCTGGCATTGGCACGCTTACGCTGCTACCACCAAAGCCCACGAAAGGGTACTGGCCAATCGACTGACTTAGTGGGAGGCACGTTGAAGAGGGGGTGACCTGCACGGGTACACTGCCACCGAAGGGCGATGCCAGTTGAGGATGGTACCAGGGAAGCGAGGGCGAGAACTGGGGGTTCGTCAGAGGCCATGGCGGAAGAGGAAAGCTCTGCGAAGGCCGAGTCGTAGGTCCGGCTGCTGGCGTCAGCATAGTTGGATGTGCCATATTCTTCGCGTTGTGCATCTGCTGTTTTCCAGGCACAAAAAAAAAGACACGACGCTCTATTAATATAAAATCAAATGTCTGCTGTGGGACAATAACACCTGACATCATGAAAAATCGAACACCTCCCCCGTGAAACTCCACAAGGTCTAACAGCAAATGTACCGGGGAGAAACCATTTGTAAATTGTAAAGCGGCGGCTTTGGAGCTACAAACAAGGCCAGCCCTCGAGGCGGCAATTTATGCCTCCACAACCCGCTTGTTTTCTACCGCGTATGAACGAAAAAGTAGAATAAAAAAGAAATCGTAAGGACGAGAAAACGAGGTACAGCGATCTACAAGAAGTCTGGACAAGGGAAATGCGCACGTAAAGAAAGGCTCATGGGTTGTAGCTCAGCCTATCTTGATTTCGTCGCCTGCGCTAGCTTTCAGGGATCAGGGGGCACGTCATCACCAAGCACCAAGCTTGCCTCACCTTCCTGAAGGCACGTGATCGGTTCGTGCTTCCCCGTCGCGCTATGCTGCTAATCACTCCCCGGAGCAGCTCACGTGCCTTTTCAGCGGGAGGATCACGCAGAGAAGACTTGTCGCCTTTTGTGTGCACCTTGAGACTGTCGCGCATGCTCGTCCACAAGCGAGGGTCGACCCTGGTTGCGTTGGGGCACCGCGCCAGAGAAAGGTCATCCTTGATCGTCTGCTTGAAGGTAGCCTTGACAGCTTCTACTCTTTCTGATAGAAGCGGTCCTTCTTCTACATGAATGTAGCTGCTTAGCTCCGCCGTCACGCCATCGGCATCCTCTGTCGCCGCTGGTGGCATTTCGTTGGCAGTGCGAAGAGGTCAACAGCCAACGCGTCGCAACGCGTTGCAACATGCGGGCTAAATTGGACCAATCAAACACAGACAAGCCGGGCCAAACAGGGCGTTGCAACGCGTTGCAACATGCGGGCTAAATTGGACCAATCAAACAGACAAGCCGGGCCAAAGTAGTACAGAGAGCGGACCACGCATCACAAAACGTCAGGTCTCCAGGTGGCACGCGATCGACCCCTGGGTTGCTGGTCCTGCTGTGCTGGTGGTGCTGGTGGTGCTGGTGCTGCATACGGAGTATACCTGCCACACAGTGAGACGTTTTTGCAAGATGCTTGCAGAAAACCAACATGGTGGCCATGGTGAAGAAATTCCTACCCATACTTGTACTTATCGGCAACACCGATCGCCACATCATCTCCGCACCATCCCTGCTCACGCTTTTGATGCTCACACAGGGTACAGCAGTATGGTTATCCTGCTCAAATTTTTGAGGATCACCAGCGTCACAGAGCCCCTCGGGAATGTCATGGCTGAACAACGGGGCCCAGTTTCTCGACGCATTATGCAGAGCCACTGGAAAGCACTTTGTGCATGACATGACCTGAGTCGCTGGCACGTCCGGCGTCTTACAAGTCGTGCACACTCAGTCCTCGGTTGTAGCACACTACTTGAAAAATTTTCTCCACTCTGAGACCGATTTGGGATGATCCCACGAATGCACGACGCCGTTGCAAAAAATTAAACCAATATCTCCCTCGCAGTCTTGTTCAGGGGCACTGAGCACGCTCTCCCCACTTAGCCGCCGGTTGTACAGTGTGGCAGACATCTTCCTGTTGGCAATATCGTTTTTATCGCGCACAGTTGTGACGGTTTGAGGGTTATCTTCGCTCATGTTGAACGCCCTAGTGGTTTCCTTCATCGGAAAGGCGAACGCCCCGCGTTCTGTCAGACTGAGGTAGTCTACCTCAAGGCCCATCTCCCCGCAAACCTCGAGTAGGTTCTCCATCTTGTGCCATGGCAATATTTTTACTCGTGTGGTCTCAGCGTAGTAACGGTGGTTGGGGATGGGGCGGTTGATTTCTACGCACCAGGGGTAGCTGGTGGGCAATTAATTTGGCGAAGGTGCCTTACTTTGTTAACTGTAAACATTAAAATAGTGGCAAGGCATAAGCACTCTTACAATCACTACATATGCTCGCCGAATTCAGCATCGACCTGGTGGTCGCCTTCCTACCCGATACGAAATTTGTGGCAGCGTTCGCAAGGACCGATAGGTTCACGAAAGACGACGTGTACGGCAACATCCCGCTCGCCTTGAATGCCGCGCAGCACAACATGACCAAATACCAGAAAGAAACTCTGTGCAATCTCGCCGAGAATCCGGGACTCGGGCACCTGAAAGCCATCGTGGAGCGCAGGTGTCTCGTCTGCCACAAGAGCTACATGGGCGGAATTCGAGCGCCGTGGGGAATCCCGGCGCATCCAGCGTGTACCAAGGGCCTAGAGACCAACGTGCGCTACATCAACGGCGGAATACTGACCGGGCTAATGCGCCTCGTGTGGTCGACCATCCCGGTCAACGTCAGGGGCGGCTACAGCTCGTACTACGGCCAGTTCGAATACAACACCATCATCACCAAGGCCATCCCTGGCGTCATCCCCGAGAGCATGACTCTCGAGTTTTTCTTCAAGGCTCATGGAGACAAGGTGAACGCCTGTCTGGAGAGAGTGCGTGCGGAAGAAACAGCAAAACAAGAGAAGCGTGAGCGCGCGGCAGAGGAGCAGAGGATTACGCGTCAGAAAAGGCAGAAGGTTTTAAACGAGGACCGGAGGGCGTCGATCGAGGGCATGGTTGACACGACCTACCTCAAGTGGATGCGCACGGTCCCGAAATTCGCCAAGAAGTTCGTGTCCAAGCTGTCGGCGGAGGAGAGCGTTGCCGCGGCAACCATCATCCGCGCCAACGCAGACCTGTCCGAAGAGGCGCACAGTGTAGTTCTTAAACGGGGAAGAGAATTGAGCGGCCCGTATGCACTCGTTCGTAAGCACGGAGAACAAGCGGTGGTCTTGCTCCGCCGCGGTTATGATGTAAACAGTGCTCGTAGCATTCTGGTCTCACGCGAAAAGAGAGCGCTGAAGAGGAGTATGGTCGGGAATAGTACGCCGTCCTCTCAGGGCACGGGAAGGACATGTGGTTGTGGCTCCCTGTCTGCGATGAAGTGCAAATACAACATGTGTGGCGGATGCTGCCCTAGAGTAGACTGTCAGAGGCATCGGTGACTTGATTTCTCATGTGTGTGGCACACAAGCTCGTCGCAAAAAGAGGCCTCGCGAACAGCCCAGACGGGGCAGAGGGGGAGGCGCTAGGCGGCAGAGCAGTAGCGACGGCGTGCACAGGCGCAGCACCAGTCATCGGACCATGTCGCGCACTTTTAGGCGACTGTGCACGGGGGGAACAGGGGGTGGAGGGGGTGGGGTAACGACTGCACACGATTCTAGCATTGTTTTCAACCGTGCCGAGGTCACAAAATGGCGGGTGGGCACAGTAGGAGGAGTGCACCAGTTGGCAGCGGGTTGATCAGCGGGTGCCGAGGTCACAAAATGACTGGATATATTAAAATAAAATGTTTTTATTTATAAATACGGGACAGCATCATGTTGAAAAAATCTGGCATTGTCTTCGGCGTTTTGATCGTTCTTTTTGTAGTAATACGCTTGGTCGGGAGAATGCTGGCTCGCCGGCACCTTGAGAGCAAAAAAGACGTATCTAACGAGTTGCTAGATGAAATCAATAGTTTGGAATTGGTTATTGGCGGAAGATTCAAACGTATCCGGACAAAAATGGGGTACAAACAATTCAAAGTCAACTTCGTAAAGACAGGTTTATTCTAGCGATAGCCGGGATGGTCGGGGCGGTGGCAACCAAATGTAACCCACTAATCCCACCCACAAAGCGTTCCTACTCTATTACACTTTGGACACTTTTCCTCTGCCAGTTTCTCGGCACATATCCAAATGTTTCGTGTAAAACGTACTGCGTAAATTTAGCTCCCAAAAATATGTTCTCAAAGTTCAACTAAACAAACAAACATGGACCTCATCGAAAGCATGGATAGTTCTACTATCCGCGTTGACACAACATCGAAAAAGGGGAGCGCGAAAGATGTGATCCGAAAGACGCTCGCATTTGCATCCGAGCTGGAGCATCTCATCGTCACATCGGATCTCTCTCAGTGTCGAGGATGAGTCGAGCCCCGACGTCAGCAAACGAAAGTTTACTCAAAAGTTATGAACTTTAAAACGCGCATTCCGTCTCACACTTCCTACAAAAAACATGGCATCACAAATCACCAACTGGAAACCAACTGAAGAAGAGGCAACAAACGCGCTGGAAAACCTCCACAACGATCTCGTACCTATGAGAATGTTATTTCCTGATGCGAAGTATTTTTCGCAAGACACATGGGACTCTCGCTTCGACGCCGTATTCAAGACGCAACATCAGTGGAACCTTCTTTCGAGCTACGCAGACGGACTTCGCTGGTCAACAATGAAAGACGAGGATGTTGAACTATTTGACTTCTGGCTCATCGACTGGTACGATTATGAAGAATGGATCAGAGGGGCCAGGCGACCTGACCACATCGCACACGAGATGACGACATCGGTCAAGTCCAAGNAGACACATGGGACTCTCGCTTCGACGCCGTATTCAAGACGCAACATCAGTGGAACCTTCTTTCGAGCTACGCAGACGGACTTCGCTGGTCAACAATGAAAGACGAGGATGTTGAACTATTTGACTTCTGGCTCATCGACTGGTACGATTATGAAGAATGGATCAGAGGGGCCAGGCGACCTGACCACATCGCACACGAGATGACGACATCGGTCAAGTCCAAGCGCAAGCGGGGAGGATATAAAAAACCACAACCTTCTCAACCTACGGAGGTTCTCGACAGGGTTTTTAAGGACTTCATTTCATCGTCTGAAAGTTCGGTGTCCCTGCCGGATCTCAACCCATGGGATCGCAAATGGATCCACATTCGGTCGGAGCAGGCTAATATTCGAAGTGTTAGTGTCGAAAGCGTGGGAAAGATCAAGACGATGACACTGACGAAGCCAAGTGGCTGGAAACTTCCTAAGACTCCGGAAAAGACACATAGAGAGGTTGAAGCGGACCTCCGTGCCGTCGACGCGGACAAGGAGGACGCCCGGTTTCAGATTTATTGCAAGTACCGTGCATGGGGTTACGATTGCCCTGATGAAATGATAGACTGCGAACCGAAACTAGCCATGGTTGCTGGCATCTGATGAGCGGGGTGGGCGGGCGCTAGATGGCAGAGCAGTAGTGGGTAGAGGAATCTTTCCATTCTTTTGTCGGGTTGCCAAGCGGGGGCGCCAGGGCAGCATTTTTCCACAATAGGCGCCATTGGGGCGGGGTCCAGCGGGCTGGGGGGAGGCGCTAGGCGGCAGAGCAGTAGCGACGGCGTGCACAGGCGCAACCAGTCATCGGACCATGTCGCGCACTTTTAGGCGACTGTGCACGGGGGGAACAGGGGGTGGAGGGGGTGGGGTAACGACTGCACACGATTCTAGCATTGTTTTCAACCGGGGCGGGTGTCGTTTTTGAAATCGGCGGGGCGGGGTAGGCTGCGGGGAGGGTATGCTTGGCCACATGTTTCAGCTGTGCCAGGTCGGACACACTGGTTTCGGGGTGCGCCGCCACGCTGGAACGAGTGGGGGTGATGGGGGCTTGGGGGATGAGCTACGCAACCTTGGTGCGCTTGGGCCTGGCGGGGCTTGGGAGTAGTTATTGCTCTTCGGGCGCCTTCTTCCACCCGTAGCTACGGACGATGCCGTCGCCCGCCTTTAAAAAAAACTTTTTCATCAGCACGCCGTTGCGCCACAGCGTGTTGTCGTTGTGCTGTCGCGTGAGTGTCTCGGACTCTTGCTTCTCGGCCGCCATCTGTTTTAGCTATTTGCCTGATGGCGTCGGCGGATGCGTTTTTGGGCCACCGGCTTCGTTGCGCTCCCTCACTCTGACACAGATCGTCGGGTCGTCACCTCACATATCCAAATGTTTCGTGTAAAACGTACTGCGTAAATTTAGCTCCAAAAAATATGGTGTTGTCGACTAGTGAATGAAAAATGTACTTAATTCGGCAATCAAGAGCTTTTTCTAGAAGTGCGTTCGATTGGCGAGAAATAAAATGTTGCAAAAAAGCATAGTAGACAGTACTATCCTAAAATGTTCTAGAAAAAAGACGTTTGATTTCAATTTTATCGGTAAACACTGGAGTGCCGTTGCTGCTGGTGCATGCCCGAGCATGTCGTGCGAGCCGCGGCTTTTCTGTAGTCGCTGTGCTTCGCCCGGCTCTTGTGCTACCACAGCCAACGCGCTAGACACTGACGTCACTTCGCCTGCATCGGCCTCTCCAGCTGCCTGCACCGCCCCGTCACCTTCACCAAGGCCTCTCTGGCCGGAACAGGCTGCTCATGCTCCGTCTCTTGCACAGGCGTCACCGTCTCGACCACGGCCTACGCAGATGCAGATGCCGCCACTGCCTCGTCTGGCTGAGTGCCAGTCACCTGTGCAGCCGCGAGCTCCTGCGAAACGTCCGGAACCTATTGAGACGAGTGGTCAAAGGGGTGGAGCGGGTATCAATTTTCAGTCAGAGATTGACACCTTGACATCATGTAAAGAATAGTTGGAGTCGGTGGGGTGTTTCGACGAACTCGACAAAGATTGGTTCGCGGAAAGGATCAGGGGTGTTGTCAACTAGTGAATGACAAGTGTACTAAATTCGGCAATCAAGAGCTTTTTCTAGAAGTGCGTTCGATTGGCGAGAAATAAAATGTTGCAAAAAAGACGTTTGATTTCAATTTTATCGGTAAACACTGGAGTGTGTTGATCGTCCACATCGGTCACAATTCACCTTCACCATGGCAACCACCGCCACAAAATCAAAGACGAGGAAAAAAAAGAAGAGGAAGAAGAAGGCCGACATCACAACACTGCTGTACAGGGTCGTCAAATTCAACACGCTACGAAAAAACTACAACGAGCTCTACATCGCGCAACCAACGATCCCCATGAATCGCTCTTTAAGGGCCTCCACAGGGGTTTCCACGAGGATCGACATCAGTCGTTAAATGGAAGTTTGATCATCACAGGCTACATCGATAGAAAAGTGTACATAAAATGGAGGTACTCTCCTCAATAGCATGATAGCGACTAATATCGACAGTCAGCGAGAGGAGCGGCAGATTTCGAAAGAAAGTCAGCCCCGATTAGTTTTCGCGAGAACCCCTAACCTTGTTTAAGCTTTAGAAAATCGTTGTTTGTTGATGAGTGTCGTATTTGGGTACGGCAATAACTGTCCGGAAGTAGTTACTTTCGACAATATAGACCCTCCGGATTCAACGAGACCTACCAATTTTGGATGGTTTTGTTCATTTCTTACGGGTTAATTTATTACTGTCCAGAGGCGTTAAACTACGGCTGTCAGTGGTTCGATTACGTGCGTGGCGGTGCCGGTGGGCGAGGCTTCGGCGGATGGGCCATGACAACGTGAAGCGTTTCGATAGTTTTACAGGCAGAGGATTTGGCGCTCTGGATTGATGTTGCGATGTTAATTGTGACCGTGTTGCAAATCAGCAGGGCTTGGCCGCCGAGCGGCGGTGACTCGTTCGTCCACTGGCCGGCCATTCTTTTTTGGCACACTCGAGCATCGGTACGGAAGTACCTCACGACAAGGGAATGCGACAGAAGTGTGTGGCGCGGCTGGTAGACGATGGTACTCTTGATGCCGAGTTTGAACTCTAGCATCTTGTTGCAGCAGTGTGCACCGGCTGTCTTTGTTGCTGAAGCAGTTTTTTAAATCAAACACACTCAAAACCTTGACGCTCGCACAGCACAACGGCTGAAAGCTCGGCTCGTGCCTTACCGGTGCTGGTCAATTGCGCCGAAAAGCAAACCGTATTGTGGCCCAGCTTCTCCTTTCCTTCACGGAGACGAAACGGCGCTGTAGACAACACCCTTTTTACTCCTTGCTTCATTCACGCGCATCACGGCTCTCTCTCGTGCAACATCGAGCTCACCTGCAACGCGGCAGCGCTTGGCAGCACAGCAGCACAGCAGCGGCAGCAGCAGCAGCACATCAGTACGCCAGCACACCAGTACACCAGCACACCAGTACACCAACACACCAGTAGAGGAGCAGCAGCGGCGGCAGCGCTTCGGCAGCAGCACACCAGTAGAGTAGCAGCAGCGGCGGCAGCGCTTCGGCAGCAGCAGGGCAGAAGGGCAGCCGAGCAGCAGGGCAGCAGAGCAGCAGAGCAGCAGCGGAGCAGCAGAGCAGCAGCGGAGCAGCAGAGCAGCAGAGCAGCGGAGCAGGGCAGCAGAGCAGCAGAGCAACAGATCAGCAGCGGAGCAGCAGCAGAGGCACGGCGGCGTTGTGTGTGTTTCCTCTGCTCTTGTGCGCAACTCGAGGTGCGCTGCTTGATCTTCCGTCCGAAAAAACGCGGGCCAATAGTACACTTATCACTGTGCCCCAGGGCCAATAGTACACCCCATCCCCGCATATGGGCCAATAGTACAAAAAGCGTGCCCCGGGGCCAATAGTAGACAGCAGTAGGGCGGAGGAGAGAGGGAGGGAACCTGAGCACAGTCGACCCGAGGTCAGCTCACAACATGCCACGAAAATGTAGTTGCGGACGAGGGAGAGGGGTGTATGCAAGGAAAGGTGAGAGATCGTTTCCAAAACCGAGCTCCGACCGAGAGCACGCTGCTGTGTGTACTGTTTGTGCTGTTGGGCCGCATCTGGAGAAGACTGTAGATGGAGCCCTCGACACGTCAAGCTTCAAGGCGGTATGCTATTGGCGCTCTAGAGCTCTGGCTGGACGTCAGCTGTACTACAACACAGTGACGCGTGCGAGTCTCGCATTTTTGTTTCCACGACAGCAGAAGTACAAAACATCTGAAAAAGGGTGTGGCATCTCTCCTGCTTGCCCCTTTTTTCAACTTTGACGTGTTCCCTTCAGATGGCAACGGCGCTTTCATTGCAGACACACAGGGTAGAATCGACGGGAAATGCAAGCAGTGCAAGGATGAGGCGAAGGAAGGGGTGTTTCACCTCATACATTCCCAAAAGTGTAGTCACACGGGTTGCAACAAGTACCCTTCGTATGGTTTCAAGGCGGATGGCAAGAAGAGGTGCTGTGCCGACCACGTCGCGGAGGGTATGACCAATTTGCTCAAAAAGTGCGAAGAGTGTAGAAAGACAGCCAGCTATGGCTTTCCTGGCCTCGCTCGGACTCACTGTGGCCAGCACAAGAAGAACGGAATGGCTGGTCCATCTAAAGGTACAGCAGAGCGACCAGTCGTCCCTCAGCCACGAGCACCTGCAACAGCAGTAGACGTCGCAGCAGCAGCATTCGTTGCAGCGGGGGTGACCGCTATGGAGTCCAGCGCATCGCCCGGTGCAGGATCGGCGGCGGCGAGCGATGTTGAGCCAGCGACCGGAGCGGAGCAAGGGATCAGCAGGCTAAGTGTCCTCGTATCAGCAGCCGAAGCAGCAAGCGTTCAGGGACGCGAGGTGGGGAGTGTGGGATCCACATGTTCCCGATTTGTATGTACAGCAGTAGCTGAGGCGCTGTAAATTCTGTTTTAAATCGAAAACAGATGCACTCCTCTGCGCAACAAAAAAACCACGACAGCTGCCCATTCGCGCGTCTACCCTTTGACCGCTACCGCATGCTGTAGTTTTCGCATTTCTCACAGGATGCAGAGAGGGTTGCACAAGCAGAGAAGAAAAGAAAGGAAGAATCGGAGAAGCTTGTGCGTGAAAGGGAGAGAGAGGCAGCAGACAAGGCGAAAGAGGAGAACGACGAGCTGCGACGCAAGCTTGCAACTGTGAGTTGGTGTTGTCACACATGGCATTTTCATTTCTATATAGACGGTAGTCAACACGCACACACGCGCTGTTTTGACTTGACCTTGTGTGTCCCGGGAATATGCAGCTCGAGGCCAAGAGACGAGAGCAGCAGGCGGAAATCAATGCAGCGGCACAAGCGAAGGCAGACACAGAAAAGTTGGAGCGGCGACTCGCGAGAGTACAGCAAGACAGAGACAAACTACGCGACCAACTGAAGAAGGCTAGCCCACCCGCACGTGACCACCTGCGGCGCAGCACACAGCAGCAACCGCCGGTACAGCGGCCCGCTTTAACGGTAAGCGCATGTAGTCGGTGCTTCACATGTTGTTGCAGAAAGCAGTGCCCTCATACGATGCGCGTCATCCAAACAAACGCCGCTGATTCCCTTTGCAAATCAATCAGGTACACGACGTGATGGAAAAAGATCTATTTTCGCACGACGCGCTCAAGGAAATCAATAGCCTAATCCACTGCAAGGGTCTCGGCACCAAGGTCGCTTTTGCCGAAGGCGATACTCTCTTGACGGTAGTTCTCCCGGATGTAGATGTGCCCGCGGGGTACGAAAAGAAAGGTGGTGGATATACGTGCATGGGTTACATCATGCATGCGGATGGTCTAGGAGCGCTCGTGATCGATCCGAGCAAAACCATGCGCGGCACGATCCCCGCCTGTCGAGCGTTCATGGAAATCAGCTTGTTGCGACTACTCAACCACTCGTTCGCGCCGAATGCTAAATTGGTAATACATGGGGGTGGAGGACGAATGAAGCCATGGTGGTACGAGAGGGCGGGGGGTGTGGAGTATGGATGGTGGTATGAATGCTCTATCGTAGCGTGTGCAGACATCGAGGTAGGAGCGGAGGTTACCATCGAATATGCTGACCCTCCGAAGGGGGCAAAGCGACCACAACCGCCGAAAAGAGCAAGTAAGCGATCGAGACGCCGGTGATGTAGCGCCCAGTTGCGAGTTGGGGACGCGGTTGGAGTAAACGCATTCTTGACCGCTTCTGTCCGTAAGTTAACATCGTTCTTGCCGATTTATGGCAGTTTCTGTGGCATTGGTATATGTGCGCCCCGCCGGCCTTGGGTAGTACCCTGACACAGATGGTCGGGTCGTCGAAATTGTAGGCAATTGTGCCCTCGTGCGCTAGGTGGCAGAACAGTAGCCAGGTGCTAGCAGGAGGGCAATCGTTCCATTTTTTGTCGGGTTGCCAAGCGGGGGCGCCAGGGCAGCATTTTTCCACAATAGGCGCCATTTGGGCGGGGTTCGGCGGCAGAGCAGTAGCGACGGGCCATCGGCCTTGGAGCAAGATGGTACCACGAGCTTTCTCGATGAGGTACGGGCCACGGGAATGTGGAGGGGTATTTAAATTCCGCGACCGGGTTTACGTTTGTAGCACGCTCCGATACCAGTGCCACACGCGTTGCTGGGGGCGACAGACTCGTTTGCCTTCAACACTGGCGCGTACAAAACTGCCAATAAAAAATGTCTTTCATCTCTCAAACGTAAATCATGGACAACCTGGTCGTGGATGCTTCCACAGGTCATGTCGGAGTCGCTTCTCTGATAAAAACGGCTAGGCCTTCGATAAATCAAAAAGATATTCTGAGGAAGGTGGAGGGAATTCTCCGTGATTTCAGTCACTATTGTCAACTTTAGGAAAACCAAAACCAACTATAAAGTATCATCCGCAAGTGAAAATCCGAAAAAAATCCTTAAAACCACTCCTGACCCAGCAATTTGCCGAAACCACGCATACCGATGTTAGTCGACCCTACGTCGTCGCGATCCATTTCAAACTCTGGTGTCAGGGGGTGAAGTCTACAGGACTCTTCCGGTGATCCGATCTTAAAGTTTTTGCAACTCCGGATTCTCCGTTCTTTGTCCTCGACCGTGTCCTCCCCACACCCCGGGCACTTCTTGGAAGTGTTGTACTCTTCCACCATCAACACTACTCCCCTGCTGGCCATCTCTCTGATCAAAGCTTTCCTTGGGGCGGATGCCCTCCCTTTCTGCGCACGAAAAGACGCTTTACCGAACAACATGACCCTGCAGGGGTCTCCTACATGTCCCATGTACTTGTCCGCTATCTTGGCGAGTGTCTTCTGCGTAGCTCTGAATCGATCAAAACGCAAGAACTTCCTTGCTTCCTGAAGCGTCTCAAGCAACAGTGCCGCACCGTTTGCACACCAACTTTTACAGTACCGGATGAACGTCGCGAGGCAGGAAGTTCTTTTCTTCTCGTTGCGTAGACGATCGATAGCCACTCCGTAAGGCTGGTCCTTGCGCCTGAAAGTCTCGTACTTGTCTGAACGTGAGGCAAGAGTATCGCGACGATAGTCATCCCCGAACACACACGTCGAACTGTTAAGAATAACACCAGGGTCCTGCCTCGCCCAAGTTCTGGCCGTGGCCGAAGAAACGTTGATCACCTTCGCCTGTCCCGGGTCCGCGGACATCACGACAACGTCTTCCCTGATGCTTGGAGAATCCAAGAGGCTGGATATATTGTACACTCCTCTTCCCTCTCTCAGCAGACTTTCTAGTTGCACGTCAGCCCGGGGAAGTTTGTTGTACCCCGCCTCGTTCAGCTGGGTGGACCCGGGGAAAGCTTTTCTTCCATGTTCCAGTGTCACAAGCAGAAGCTTGATCTGCACACCGTCCGTCAAAAAACTCTCACCAATCATCCAGGGGCACTTGTCCGGACCACTTCCTAGCAAACTCGAGAGGTATCCATGCTCGCTTGACGCGTACCTGGAGTTCTCTTTGTTCGCGAGACACTTGATATTGGCCTCTTTGGAGAACGGTCGGAGGACGTCCTTGTACCACCAAGCATCGTTGGAGTGCAGAAGCCCCCATGACTTAAGCGTCTTCATGTCGATGTAGATGAACACCGAACCCGTTGAGCAAATGGGTAGAACGGCGGTGTCTTTGGGGGGAGCGTAGGTGAACTCTTCTCCGAGCTCGTTCTTCACGAATTCGTACCTCTTGTTCCTGCACTCCTTGTCTTCACCGGGGAAATACGAATGAGCTCGGGATACGGTCTCCTCGTACATGCGTCTGGAGTCGGCGACGTACGTGTTGAACATCCAGTACAGGTGTTTGATCGTCGACGCGCACTTCCCATCCTGACGATCGGAGAACTCCTTTTCTTACCGAGCGAAGTCGAGGATGGTGTCGATGTCCGTGCCAGGGTCTATTGATTGTGCCTTTTGTCGGAGGTCTTCTGCGTACTCGGGTGTGCCGTCGAACTCCGTGATGATTTTCTTCGCTAGATCGTATAGCTTGGTAGCATACTTCTTGTACACGAGGTCGCCCCTGGATATCCGCAAGCACAGAAACCACCTCGTGATCGAAATTCTCCTCTTTTCCGCGTGGTGTGTTGCACGCGTCGACGTTGCCGTTGCCATGCGTTGTGCCTCGTGCTCTCGCTGTTGGTTAAGGTTCAGTTTTCTGGGAGGCACGAGCCTTGTCAGTCCCGTTGTGTCGGAAAAACGATCGAAGTCGTCGTTGCGACTCCCTCCTCCGCTGCTTTCGATGCATGATGACAAGCATGACCTGTAAAAGGCACTGTCGGGCTCTGGAAGGGCTGATCCGTTTTGAAGACGTTCCAAGAACACAAAGTTCGCGAAGAGAGACGCCAGAACTCGTTCGCGAGAGAGGTGATACACCGCCTCATCGATCTTGGACTGAAAAGTGTCGCGTTTCTCATCGGTCGTTGCTGCCCGAAATCCGACGCTCACGGTTCTCAGCCTTGTCTTTTGAGACACTTCTTTCCCGAACTTGACTCTGGAGAAGAGCTGGCAACAATAAGTACCCTTGTATTTCTTTGGTAGATTTCCTGACTCGGTGAGGTATCCCTTGGGGTAGAGACTCCCCACCGTCCGCAGAAATCCCGGGACGTCCTTTGGAGGAGCTCTCGGATGTATCTTCTTGTGTTTCTTCTTCTTGTGCGAGTTTCCATCCGAAGACGGTCTCACCATGACGAAAAGGATGATGGTGATGATGATGAAGTGTGAGACGGGGTGCGAGGTTTTGTAGTCAAGAACTTTTGAGTAAACTTTCGCTTCCGGTATTCCACCGCGTGTAACGTCCGAGGGCGTGATTGGTGTGACGTTTGTCATCCGGTGGTCTGCAATGAATCCGACCAAACGGCCTTTTTGACTGTAGCTCTGCTACAAACCTGTAGCTCGTGTGACCGGAGACTCTTTTAACGTTACGGAGAATGTGTGTGACGTGTGTATCAAGGGTATACAGATATGACGACTCCTTCGTACTGCTTTGCATTCTCAGAGTGATCGTGTCTAACAACACCCTGGCTTCCACCTCCTGGATATAAAGAGCGGGTGTTTTTGCGTGAGCTTTCTCGAGCTTGAGATTTGATTTCAATCGCTTGAAGGATTCCTCCACTCTCCATCTCCATGCGTACATAGTCTTGATGTCTCGTCGAGATAAGGACGGATCGTTCGTCAGGCAGACATACGTCTTACCTTTGATGAAATATTTCAAGAGGCGCACCCTAACACCAAGAATGAGACACGCTACCTCCGTGTGGTGCGAGTTAAAGAAAGACCTAGTACCCTTGAACGCATTATCCTGAGTCGCCAGACGCCAAATGCACCGGAGTCATGGACACTGCGGAGTAGGTCTTTGGAGTAATATCCCCTGTCAAACAACAGCGTGTCACTTTTCCGCACACTACGGAGCATCGAAACAGCTGCCCTTCGTTCGTCGAAGTGTTTCGTAAGCTCAAAGTCTATACATGATTTCGTTCTCACATCGACCATCGACGAAAGCATGACCAGAGGTCTTTTAGCAGGACGCGGCACTGGCTTGTCGTTTGTTCGTGTTTTGTAACCAGCCTTGATGAAAGACGGGTGTACATGCACCTTCGAACCATCAATGGCAAATATGCGTGGTTCATGTGGCCCTCGATGCAAAAAACGGTTCACCTCTTTGAAAGCCCCGATCGGAAGCTTCTTTCTGGCCAAGTGTACCGCCTGCGACGAATATTCTTCGGCTTCCATTTTCAAAACATGAGAAACTCCTCTCTCTCGAGTACAGCACTTTGTGATCGTGTAGAACACTGAAGATGTGTCCAGTTTTCGCCGCCTCTGCATCCATTGCGCGTCGCACTTTTTGAATGCATCGTATATTTCAGGAGATATCGGGCGAGTCATTTTTTTCTTATTGTAAAAAACATTTAAGTTGTCAACATGCTTAACTTTACAACAATGATTTCAGTGGTCCAAAAATTTCGAAGCGTCAGGTACACGGCAGAATCACATCTGTCGTTCCGAGCGAAGTATGTGACTATATATTGAACAACATATCTGGGAAAGGTTGGGACACGTGGCGGGACACGTCGGGAGAGGCATTTAAACAATCGCTCAGAAACCACGTCGAGCGCGTTTGTCAGTGTCTGCGTGCACAGGCGCAACATCAGTTATCGGACCATGTCGCTCACGCTGAAACGAAAACTGCTAGGTTGGAAAAGGCGCTGAGGACCGTGGGAATCCATGGTTCCGTGCGCATCGACGAGAACACTGGGAAAGGGTCCATTATCGATGTCAACCGCATGCTGTGTCCCGAGGCGTCTGCCGAATATGCTGCAAAAATGCTCACACGTGTCCTTGAAAAGGAAAAAAGGGATGGCATGGAAAGGCCTGGACAAAATGCACAGAGTACGATTCCACTTTCTGAACGCATTGAATACGTCAGGATCAACGACAAGGGCCCTGTCACCCCTATTTGCGACGCTTCAACTCTCGTAGAAATCATTTGGCTACTGCCTTCGAACGCTGCGAAGGAATTCAGGCGTCAATCAGCCCAAACCATCACCAGGGTGCTCGGTGGTGACACAAGTCTTTGCGATGAGATCGAACAGCGCTGCGATCGCTTACAGAGCACGGAGGAAGGCAGGGCGTACCAGGGCTTTCTTTTGGACCAAGGACCCGCCAAAAAGCAACGGTCGGAAGAACCCTTTTGGTTTGAGTACGCATCGGACGAAGAGAAAAGGGCTTTTTCGTTTCGGTCATGGCCAAAAAAACCATTGCACTGAACGAGATCGACATTTGCAGAACCTGCAGGGACCAACTGCAGTCCGTCAACCAATTCTCCGGGCGCGACGGGATCGAATTCGCCGATCGCATCAAGGACATCCAGCGGCGCGCCTCGGCGACCAACGCCATGCTAGCCTCAGCCCCTGGTGACAACTCCATCATTGCTGTGGCAAGGCCGGTCGACGACAGCATTGACCCCTATAGTTGCTTGCTCGCGTAACGCTGGAGACAAGGGAAATGGCCACGGTAAGGCACGAAAGTTCGGTATGTGTGGATTTGTTGTCTCACATGGCGCGATTCACCTGCTCACCAACAAATCGCAGCAATACGCGAAATATCTTCTCATTTGGCGAGGTGTTTGCACATCAATACGCAGGTGAAACCCCTTCACTACCGGAATGCTCGCGAAAGAGGGTGCAGGGGAAGATGACAGGAGGAGCGGATGGGGACGTAGGTGAGTGCGGTACGCGCTCGGGAACTTGAAAGAAGGACGCGATGGCCACCGGGGAAGAAACGAAGACGGCTTGGCATCTTCTGAGTGTTTGTTCCTGTGTTGTTCGATTTGTTGTTTCGTGTAACAGGGCCGTCAAAGAGGCCAAAGCGTGCTGCTGCTGCTACTGCTGTTGGTGCTACTCGTCTGACTACCGCTAGGCGTGTGTCAAGGAAGACCGGTGAGAGCTTAGCACTTTTTCTCATTTGGCGATGTGTTGGTTGTCCAACCACGGTGCCGCCCTTCCTTGTGCCATGCACCGACGAAGACACACGCATTGTTCCTGCCAGCTCTTCGTCTCCAGAAGGCACCGGGGACACGCGTGATGGTGGCGAGGGGGGGGGGGGAGTTCTCTACATTGCAG